AACTAAACAAAAGGAATAAATACATGACAGGAGAGATAATGAATAAATAGCAAGAACCTCTGTTCAACTTCTCCATAAGCATGTTCCTCTTAAATTTACTTTACCTGAGAGTTTAGATGACACATCCCTTCAGTAAAAATCCACCCCAGTTTCAAATAATGCTCCAAGCATTTGTGTTCTTAAACACTGTGGCTGGGGGGATGGTTACTAGTTCTTTTCACTAACAACTTGTTCAAACAGTTCTTTTTGAAACACTTCCTTCTCTAACACCAATAGGTCAACCAGATTCAAATCTGAAGGAATGAAAAACTACTCTCTAAATCAAGGTTTCTTTGGAAAAACTTCATTTTACCTGAGTCCCTACAACTTTTCTTTTCCAGTTTGAATATAAACTGAAAAGCCTTACGCCTGAACAGTTATTACAGAGTAAAATCACTTCCCCATTGGGCATGCCTGGAATTCAGGGGAAATCTGCTTTCAAGTTTGTCTGATGGCCCTGGACCAGATGCTCCAAGGTGGCCAGAAACCTTTGTCTACACCCACTTAGCAGATTTCTGGCTCTTTATCGGGAACTAAGAGGTTTATTTGCAGAAATGAATCATTTCCTTCAAAATATCCTTTACTCTATTTACATGCTTGCATATTCCTTCCATTTTGTTTTCCCCCTACAGCTTTACTAAGGGAATTAATTATCTAGAAGAACAGGAACATACAGTAAGTACATCTGAGATACAGGATGAGACACAGTATGTCATCTATTAGGCCTGGCTAAGACCAGCAGCTGATGCTAAATGGGAAGGAACATGCACCAAATGTTTTTTAATCACAAAGTTAGTAATTAATTGCTCTTTAAAATACATTTTATGCTTCTTTCTGTCTGTGTACATGAAATGCACATTTATTACATGCCAAAAATTACAACATTATGGTTTAAATGTGACTGGCACGGAAGTCCGGAAATCAGAGTTAATGTTCCCACAGCAACTTTAATTCTGTCCGTGTGCACATGTAGAGCTCTAATCGTCTTCCGTTCCAGGATAATACATATAGATGGTTTGGGAAGGGAAGCTCAAGACCCATATCCTCAACTGTAGTTACCGGAAAAAAACAAAGGATAAAAGCTGTGCTCCTTTCCACGTACGTGGATAAAAAACAATGTCCTCGCGCCCGGTGTTGTGTAATCCGGGAATGAAAAAATCCGCTGTGATGTCAGCACTCAAGGGGACAGTTTCTGTTGCTGTGGGAACCTGAACTTTGCATTTCCTGACTTTGGGGTAATTAAAATGTCAGCCTTAATGTGGCATTAATGGAGTTTGCCATAAAGAAATCCTCTTTGTTTTGTTCTCATAAAAATTGCTTAAAAAGTTCATAATGAACCAAGTGTACTAAAATCTTGGGTCAGGGGGGACTGACGCAAAGGTTTGGGAGGGGGAAGGCCAAGTGAGGTGGAACGCCTGAGAGCAAAGGAAGAGCCCACCCGGCTCCTCCCTCGAAAATGCTCAGCCCCTTAAGATTCATGCTACCTACAGAGCTAAAGTTAAACCCGCCCACACAACAGTTTGGTAATGTGTAAAGGTTAAATTAAAAATAAATAAAAACTGTTAATGCATAAGTGCATCTTGGCAAGGACACAAAAAATGAGACAATTTGATGAGGCCAGTGCAAGACACAAGAAGGTAAGTAACCACAGATGTCAGCTTCCAACAAAACAGACATCAAACTAGGTCCTTCCAAAGTAAGGAGGCAGCCAAAGGGGGTTGGGGAAATCGCTCCTCCCTTCGACCGGAGCCTTATCTGGAGGAAGACAAAATGGAAGTGTCTGTCACATGTACATGACTGAGATGTGCTAGGCTTGACAGTTGTCAAGAAAGGTTTTCCTGGGAAGAGCTCCAACAGCTCTCCTGCGGTAGGAGAGTAGGAGTAGGTTTAGTCCTACTTCTCGGTTTAAATGGAGAGGCTGGCTCCACCCATCCTCAGCCTACGCAGTGGAAACTGTTCTGTCAGGTGCCTAGGGGTTCGATGCCCTTTGCATTCCGAAGATCATTTTAATGGCTCCAATTACCATCATCTGCATTTGTTTACCACGAGACTGTCAGAAGTGGTGAGGAGGTGACATGCTAAGGGGTGGTGGGGGAATATTTCTAGAAGGTGATCATTGTGGGCGGACTGGAAAGGAGCACTTGTTTCAGTAGTGATATTAACCTTATCATTTCACCAAGGAAAGCATTTCTCAGCCATATTCCCTCTTGCTTTGACTTTTACTGGACTCTGCTGGATTTGAAGTGGTTCAGTAGGTTAAATAGCCATCTGAGAATTTCAGAGGTCACACTTGTCCTTTTTCTCCCAAATATGGGCTGTGTCCTTTAGAGGTAACAGCGCCATGGGTTGCCCACCCTGACCAGTTCATACGCAGAACTGACTTTGCATTCACCGGGATGCTTATCCACCGTGTTCTATAACCCCATTACCAATATGAGTAGTTGCACATTTTCAAGAAACCTGTTTCGAGCCAGGTATATGATCTCCAGACTCAGAACAGAGAATTCAGGTTGCTCACAGTGACAGCAAATCCACAAACATCCCCCTTTCTCCTCCCCCTAATTATCAAGCATTCATCTATATGGGTGTCAATTTTCTTAGTTTTCTCATCTGTAAATTGGGAAGAATTATAATGACTGACAGAAAATGGTCATTATGCCATGCCTAAGAATAATTTTGCTAAACACATGACAAATAAAAAGGTGCTATAAAAATTCAGGCACTTGTGAACACTTAGAATACCACATACTGGTGGAATGTTTCTGAAGTTAAAGATACTAACAAGTCAAGGGCACTATTTTTAAATGCCCCAAATCTGTTAGTTCTAAATAGAAACTGAATATTTTACCTTAAAGAAATTAGGCTTTTAAATTAATCTATGGTAAGAATGACATTTGAAAGTAAAAAAAAAAAAAATTCTCTTGAATGCAAGAAGAGCATCCAAAAATTTTAACAGCTTAAAATAAATCTCTTTCCTGTCTTCTCTCAAGCAATCTCCAAATGGACAGATTTCTGTGAATCTTTCCTCAAAACAATTTTCTTCTAAGTGTAGGCTCAAATCAGGACAAACTACAATCCAAATATATTTGGAGAAAAGTATAATCAATTTAAACAACAGGTTGGAGCAGAAAAGACCTACACATCTTAATGGCAAAATCAGAATGACTTTCTGAACAGCTGGAGGTTAGGTTTCTCCTCCCTATTTGTTCCCCTTCCAACGGCATTCAGACCTAACTGAGCTCAGATCCACTAGCTTCCTCAGGGTCACCAAAGGGCTGCTCCTTGTACATATTTCATGTTAATGTCACAGGCTGGCCAAAGGATGCTTACGTATTGTATAATCAACAGTCCAGTGCTGTTTCTTTCTATTCGGCAAAACATTCATTTGGCTGTAACGGGATTTCTGGGCTAAGGCCATTCTATGTAATCTTTCCCATAAGCTGTGGCAGAAAGCCAGACGTTGGAGGTCTGCATGCAGGAGCTCCAGGCCCTTCTCCACAGGAACAGGCTACCTTCCTGGTAGGTAGGGACAGTGCGCACATGTCTATGGGCACCGTGCCATGCTATTTTCCAATTCTTCCTGTAATTACTATTAGGCTGGAGACTGCCAGGCAAGAAGGCCAAGAATGTTACTATTTTGACGGTCCACAGAACACAGTCCCCACTTCTGACCCCCAAGTTTCTCTATGGAATCAGCAGCTTGGTACAATGCACACGGGTTGCAGACACTTGGCTCTTGTTATTTCTTGTTTCGTTTTCTTGCGACAGCTGAAGTATGGTCTCAGCTCAGTCATGAGCAGAACAAGGTGGGGTCCCTTATCTAGAGGCTATTATGATGAAGAACATACAGAATGGAATGTCCCAGCCTCATTCACCTCTCGCCCTTTCTGTAAAGTTTTATGTTTGCTTTGTCAGAAAAATAACAATAGGAGATTTAAAATCTCATTTCCTAATTAATAATTTTTGCTTTGTGGACAGGATAAATGGAGTTCTTTTCTGAAAAGAAAACTTTCTTGGTCTTAGCTTAATCCAAAGAAGAAGACTCCAACTTTTTGCCTGACATCCATTGTGGAGATCAGTTCTGAATAGCTGTTGGAATAAAAGAAAATTCTTTCCCAATGGACTCCAAGTTATCCTACTCCCTTCTATCGTCAACACACATGTTGCTTTCTCTCTGAAGTACTGAGTTATGTTTCAGAAAGAGAAAATATCTTCTAAATGTGATTTATCAACTTTCTTAAAAGAGAATTTGAAGAAGTGATTCTCAGATTAGTGGGAAGACAGTGAAAATAAACAGCAATGGAGTGATTTCAATAGCGACAATCTCATTAAGCTGCCCATTTCCAAATTTAGCCCATAGGCAGTTTTTTTAATTAAAAAATATTTTTAACCTGAATTCTTATTGGCTACGTGAAGTCTGGGTGGCTTCTGAATTCTTGGAAGCCATTCTCTTTTCTTCTGTAAATTTATGCTGTCCTTTAACCACTTCAAAATAAATTAAAAACTGGAAAGAGAAATTCAGCCAAGCTACAATAACTAATGCAAAGCTGACTTGTGTTACGTAATTTCAAAATGGAAGTTTCCTTTTGAGGTCCATATTTGGTCACCGAATTTCATCATGGTGGAAATACCATTATTTAGATCACGGGGACAAAAGAATAATTAGAAAATAGCAACACAGCTTCTGCTTTTGAGTTAATGTTATGAAAGAGAATGTGGTTCATGTAATTAATCCACCTTTTGAGGCCAAATGAGTGGTCACCTGGTTTTAAAACACACTCTAGCTTTGAAAATATAGATGTTGGCTGACTCAAAATGGTGGTAAGTTACTTTTGGCTACTTTGGAAGACCAAATGGAAACAGCTTGCTCTGAATGCAGAAAAGCCCGAACCCGGGGGGAGAAGCCTGCTCCAAGTACTGTGAAGACACCATCACCTCAGTGGTGTAAGTGGTGTACTCACAGTCAGATGACCCGGTATGAGCGTGCGAGTTTGTCAGTGAATGTGTTGAGTGGATGAGGGCTGAGCCTGGAGACAAAACAGCTTCAAAGTTCAGGCAGGGAAGGCCCGGCTTGGCGCTGGATCCACCCGGCTGAGTAATCTCATTCTCCTCAGATGCCTTCTGGTTTTCAGCTGTCTTGGGTTTCTTCCTGAAAATAAACAAAGGGCCCTTTGAAGGAACTGACTGCATATTTGGGAAAAGGCATTTTTAGAATCTGTTAAAGATAACTTGATTTTTTTTTTTTCCTGAGGGGGGATGGGAAGGAGTCCAGTATGTCCCTTGTTTTAAAACAAGCTGATTCTTGTTTTTTTTTTTTTTTTCTTCCCCTCCAGTAATGGCCTAACTGGGAACACATGAAAGCATATGGGCCAAGCAAACAGCACCACATTTGGACTCTGTTGGCTGCATAAAAAGACCCTGTCCCAGAACTTTAGACAGCTTGAGCTACGTATGGCTGACATTATCCAAGAAAGCATCCTTTCTTCCCCCCGTAAGAGTTTTAACATGGTCTGGAAAAATACTAGTGGAGGCTTTACCGTTCTAGCATTTGTCAGGAAGCTTAGAGACAGGACCCGTGGAGTAATGGGAGGAGCACTGGACTGGGAGTCAGGAGACTTGAGCTATGGTACTAGCTGTGCCTCTAACTTGCTGTGTGGCACTTGGGCACCTCACTTCACCTCTCTGGGCTTCAGTTTCCTCATCTGTAAAATAAAGGGCTTGGATTAGAAGGCCTTAAAGGTTCCTTCTGGTTTTCAGTTTCTATTCATGTAACACATTATGGAGCAGTCAACTTTCTTGCTGTTATTAGATTTTGTTTTAGATCAACACATAATTTCAAATCACAATCTAAACTTACAGGCTGTACTAATGAGAGGGGTAGTGATGAAAAACTTTGTTAGAGAAGCAAATGAAAAGTGAAAAGAGCTTAGACTCCAGCAGGTAAAGAAGGAAGATGTCACATAGAGATCCTCTATTCCAACTCTTTACTCATCTGAAGTTTAAGATTCCCTTTTAGAAAAGTAATTTAGTGCATGATCCTGGAGTGCAGGAGTGTGACTGTGTGTTTGGGAAGAGAAGGGTGAAGGGGAGTAGAAAGTAACTGTGATTTGGGACCAGGAATAGGAAGAGGCAGAGCTCAACTATCAGTCAGCCCCTCTCCCTCGGACCATGCAGCTGATTTAAATGAATACATACTTAGCTTAACACTGCACGCACCCTTGGCCCTAGTCAAATCAAATTATTTGTCATACTCTGAACACCGCCCCATCCACCCCCGCCAGTTTCCTTGGCTCTAAGCTTTTTCTATCATCATAGTATAGTGAACAGAAAAAGTATTTTTAAAAAATATTTTCTGGTAGAAGATTATGTGTGGTACAGAATTTGTTGTAAGTGGGTCTGTTCCCATGTTTCCCTTGTTTCTTTAAGCATGGCAATGGACTTGTTATACAGAATATTTTGTATTGAAATTTGTTGTACTGGGTAGTTAAATCTGCCCTCGCAGAATATGGTGTTATGAATTAGCATGCTGTGTTTCTGGTCCAACAGGTTGTGAAATCAAATCTGCTTTTCCAGAGGGCAGGAGGCAGAGATGGCATGGTGAAGATGAAAATAGAGGGAGAGTGTTTAGACATATTTTTAGGATGGAGGAAGCCAATACCAAAGCAACAAACTGCAATCCTTTACCAATTCTTTATTGAATGGTGACTAAGGAATGAACCTCCAAATCTTGATTGTCTATGTGGGCCTCTAGGAACTGGTTTCTGGTTTTCAGTGTAAGGAAGTACCCAAGATTAGAGTTCCCAAAACCCAACTGCTTTTTCTTCATGAAAATCAACGCTTCCTCTACAGTCCCTGTTTCTCTCACCACTGTCTGTCACCAGGTTTGTCACCATGTTGGACACCTCAGGGTCACACATCTTCTTCTGCCTTGAAGCCATTTTGTCAAGTCCTGACAATTGTGCATCCTTCATATTTTGCATACCTATGTTTCCTTTCTGTTTGCATTGCTATCACCTTAACACTTTTTATTTAGACTGTTGTTTACTTCCTGACTCCCATCCTCCTGACTTCTCCACTGCCACAGCTTTGCCTTCACTAATCTGAATGACCATGTCAGGCTGGCACTCCAGGTGAATTCCATGTATATGAGACTGCAAACTCTCTGAGGGTAAAAAACATCATAGTTATTTTTTAATTCCCTGCGTTCACCCATTTGTTCCTTCTTCCTCCCCTCCACCTATTCATTTATTCATGTATTCGTTCCACAAATACTTACTATGTGCCTGCAATGTGCCAGCATGGGCTTGGGAATAAAACAAGCCTGGTTTCTGCCCCCCTCCCAGATTTGCTGTCTAGTGTATACCGTGAAGCAGAGTAGCTTAGACAAAGCTGTCATTCAATATAGGTTTGTTGATGGAATGAAATTGAGTTGAAATTAAAGTATATTTTGAGAATAGTTATAGTCTGAATCACAATTAAGTTTCCTACTCTTTATGCAGCAGGGAAATCTACCTTGACAGGCTGTTTTCCTTGGAATCCAGAAGTACATTTGATAAGAGTAGGACTGTTTTGCCCACTAAAGCTAGGCTTGTCCTCATGGGTCATTTAAATATCGAGATGAAACACTAATGACAGACATCACTTAACATAAAAAATTTATTTCTGATGTTCATAAATAAGGTCTAGGCTAGTTTCAGATGTACTAATTTCCTTGGTTTCTTTCAGAAAATTGAAGAAACCGTCTTTGAAATGTGAGTGTATGGCCAGCCCACCAACATTACTCTTTCATTTTAACTTTGCAGAAGTTGTATTGTTCTTTCTATTGATGGCATCGCTTCCTTCTCTAGATTTGATCCTGCCTCCCACCTGACATCTTGAATCATACCCTCCTGTCTGTCATCTCAAGGATCACCTCTGGGGAACATTCATAGCACAGAGACACTGAAACCATCTTTACAAATAGAGAATATTGAAAACTCAACCTTCTGGCTCTTCATTCCTTCATTTGCCTAAAATCCCTTTACTTGTTCTTAGACCACTGGGCTATTTCCCAACTGCACATAACAGAGAGACATTCACTGACCTTAGAAACAATGAGTTTTCCATCTCACTGTCTCTAATAGTGGATTCCTTTTTCCAGAGCTAAGAAACTCTAAAACATAGCAACCATCTACATTTAGACATGCACAGGTGCTGTTATTTTGACCCAAGTTTTGCAGCTCATATTTTATTGAGGGGGAAAAAGGAAGTCTTGTAGTAATTAATTGAAAATACCTTCTCTGGTATAAAAGAATTACATGAACATGGCATATTCGAGGGCAAGTCTCACCAAGCCTCAGAAGCTGTGTACTAGTCCCTGGAGCCTTTAGAGGGCAGCAGCGCACCAGCTGGCTCCAGGCAGCGTGTCAGGCAAACTCCCCACCAGACCAGAACCTTCCTCCTGGTCACCATGCCAAAGGTTGGTTTGCCAAGCTCTCTGGCCGCTTAGCTTCCTTCTTTCTTTTCTGTTTCTCTCTCTCTCCCTCTCTCTCTCACCTCCCACTTCCCACTCTCTCTCTCCCTCTCTCCCTCCCTCCTCAGTGTTAAAATTATACACTCTGATGAAGTCGCCCCTCAACCGGAAAATGAAAGCGCCAATGAAAAAGTTAGACGAGCCCATGACAACAAAGAGAGAAACTGGGAGAGAGGGCGGAGGGGGCTGGTGAGGGGAAGGACTGAGGAACAAGAGAAGGGCAGATGTTCCGTAAACATATGCAAAGCAAAACTGGGTGTACCCTGAGCATTTCCACAGAGAAACAGACCAATCATTGTGCACTTCCTCCCACCGCACTGGTGGAGCTCTGCTTTAAAAAAAAAAAAAAAAAAGTGTGGCCACAGGCACCTGCCTTTCAGCGGTCAGTTCTGACATGCTGACTATCTCCCAATTGTCCAAAGAGAAGAAAAACATTTTCATCTCCCCACAGCAAACATTTCTGTGATGAGAAAAAGGCTGCTTCAAGGAGTGGAAAGGCGATTTAAGGTGACGGGTGGTTGAACTGGCCAGCAGGGCCTTCTGGTATTTAACTCTCATTGTGCTGGCCATGGCAACAAGTTTGGGGCTGAAACATAGCAGTGAGTAAGGTTGTGGGTGATGTTGGCTCTTTCCTTACTAGACCATATTGTATGTGGCAAGAAATATACATGAAAACATATTGAGGAGATGGTAGGTAATAAGCATGTTAAATGCATGGAAATTAACTAGATCGGTGGCATTGATGTATAGATTTCACACTTCTTTGCACATGTTGCACACATACAACGATGGCAATGCTCTCTGCGACATATGGAAAATAAATATTTTATCTCTGTGAGCTCTCATCAGTCTCCGGGGGCTGCTGAGGGAGAGTGTTCTCTTCACCAATTTTCTCTCTTCACTGGGCTCCCACCCTCTCCTACATATTAACATGCCTTCCGCTCATCAGCCTGGTTGGGTGGAAAAGAATTAGAACCCCTTTTTCATAAACACTGAGTCACTGTTTCATGACAATTTTGACCCCTGCCCTGCCTATCCCCCATCTTTTTGGTGTGGTAATATTTTCCTTATCCTGCTTCCCAATAATACATGGAAGAAGCTTAGTACAGTATTTGGGGAGGAGGGCAAAGGGGAGGTGGTAACAAACCACCTCAGTGGGGGCTGGCAGTAGAACTGAGCTCTACCATCCAGTAGCTGTGTACCTGAGGAAGATTCCTCTGCCTTGCTGGGCCTCAGTTTTCTCACCTGTAAAATGGAAATAATAAACATTCTAGGGCTGCTATGCTATGCAATGCTAAGTCGCTTCAGTCGTGTCTCTTTGTGACCCCATGGACTATAGCCTGCCAGGTTCCTCTGTCCATGCAATTCTCCAGGCAAGAATACTGGAGTGGGTTGCCATTTCCTTCCCCAGGGGATCTTCCCCAACCCAGGGATTGAACCTGGATCTCTTGTGTTTCCTGCATTGGCAGGTGAGTTCTTTACCACTAGCACCATCTGGGAAGTTGATGTGAAGATTAAATAATTCCTGTTGAGTGATGGACACAGCGCTGGCACACAGTCAGTGCCCTGGGAGGGTAGCTCTTTCATAGAGTGTCGGTTCTGCAGTTTTCATTTCAGCTAGAAGGAGGCAATTCTTT